AAAAAAAAAAAAAAAAAGAAATGAATCTACATACACGAAATTCTTTAGTCCATACACTTTATTTTTCTAAGTTAGTTCTCTCTCTTCACAGCTTCTATTCTGCTCTCTTACTTAGCTCCTCTCTTGCCTGATTTCTCTCTACATTTATCTGCTGTTCCCCCATGTGCTATCTTAATTCCTTCCTCTAATTCTGCCCCATCTAGGTTCTCATCCATCTAGTTCTTTCCCATCTTAGCTCCTCTTCGTCCTTAGTTCCTCTCTATAATCTTCTAAATTCCCTCTCTCATTCTTTCCCATCTCCTTAGTTCTTTCCATCTTATTCTTACCCACCTAGTTCTTCCCCATCTGGCTCTCCCTCATCTTCCATCTCATTCCTCTAGTCCTCTCTTCTAGCCCTTCAATCTAGTTCCTCTCTAATCTAGTTCTCTTCCAATCTAGTTTTTCCACATCTCCGTTCGTTCCCCTCCAGTTCTTACCCAACGAGTTCTTCCATTCTCTTTTTTTTGTTCTCCGTCCTGCTCTGAAAATAAAACTGCCTTTTATCCCTTTGGCCCTTATCTCTCCAAGCTATCTCTGCTCCCCCAGTTTCTGGCAGGGCAGGGGAAGTGTGCTCCGTCACTAGGCTACTTGGCTAGGCAACTTCCTTCACAGCTAGATGTACCTGTAAGCTGGAACCCTTTAGTTCTGAGTTAATTGTTAAGGGTGGATCTAAAAGTAGAGATATGACTTTGGAAAAGAAAAAGTTAAACTTAATTAGCACATCCGCCAGGCCTTCTCAGACAGATAGTCTGGATGCTTAAGTCTGTTCTTAGAGAGTACAGAGGTATCTCTGATAAGATACTTCGTCCATCCAGGGATGATCCTGGCCGGATGCTGCTAATGACGATAATGACAGAATGGCCTGAAATTAGGGATCCTGGCTGCGTTACTGCACAGAAGGTTATCTAAATATTCCATTAGAAAGGGGAAATTGTGTCCAATGAGTGATGGAAAAGCTACAATAGCACAAGAGAAACTCATAGCAGGAAATGGTTAATAATCAAAAGCCAATAAAACCAAGACTCCTTGAGTCTCAGCTTGACCTCTGGAAGGCTCTCGGCTTCTTCCAGGTATTAGCATGTCATAATCAGCTGAAATCCTATTTCATATTATTGCAGCTTGCAGCACCATATAAATGAAATCATGTTGATCTTTTATAAGTGGCCTTTTGGGGTAATGTTTTCAAAGCTCATCCATGGCACAGCAGGCATCCGGGCTTCATTCCCTTCTACAGCCCAATAATATCCCATCATGCCTATAACACACTTTGTCCACTCACCACTGGTACACTTAAGGTTGTTTATACCGTGTGGCTCTTACAATAATGCTGCTGTAAACATTTTTGTATAAGTTTTGTGTGGCTGTTTTCAGTTCTCTTGGACGTACTCCTAGGAACAAGGTGGTTGTGTGTGCCGCAGGTCACTCGGCGTTTAACTTTGGAGAAACTACCAGAATGACATGGAGTGGTCCCTGAGGATTTCAATTTTTCAAATCCTCACCAATGCCCATCCTTTTTGTTATAGACATCTGATACGTGTGATGTAGACATTTTGGTTTGGTTTGTATTTTCCTAATGCCTCAAGTATCTTTTTTCTTTTTATATTTTCATGTGTGTGCATTGTACATGTTTGCATGTCTGTGGACATACATATATGCCATGCACATGTTTACATGTTTTTGGGGGTGGGACACGCATGCACGCTCTCACGCATGTGGAAACCTAATGTTACTATTGGGAGTCATCCTCCTTTGCCCTTCCGCATTGTGGATTGAGGCAAATCTCTTAATCAACCCCAGAGCTCCTGGGTTAGGCTGTCTTGCTAGCCAGATAGTTCTGGGGATAGCTGCCTGTACCTTCTGAGGCTAGAATTACAGGCAGGCTGCCGCATCCCTGGCATTTACTGGGGTTTTCAGGATCTGAACTCCAGGTCTCATGCTTTCTTGACAAGCGCTCAGGCATGGGTCTGTCTCCCCAGTCTTGAACCTTTTTTTGGTATATCTATTATCTAGTGTATATTTTATGCCTTTTTCAAATCCTTTCCCCATTTAAAGGAGGGTTTCTGTGTTTTTACTGCTGGGAGAGTTCTCCATATATTATAGGTACTGGTTCTTTATAAGATATATGATTTGCAGTATTTTCTGGGGTTACCTTTAACTTTCTCCTTCTTTATTTTTCAATCACACACATATGTATCTATGTGTGAGTTTGTGCATGTGAGTGCAGATGCCCAAAGAGCTCAAAGGGTGTCGGGTGCCCTGGAGCTGGAGTCGAAGGTGTTTGTGAGTTGGACGTGGGTGCTGAGAGGTGAGCTCCAGTTCCCTGTAAGCTCTGCATCTACTCTTAACTGCTGAGCCATCTCTCTAGCCCCTCACTTCCTTGATTAGCATTGTTTTAAACAAAGACCTTTTAGTTTTGGTGAAATTCAAGTTACCTGTTTTTGCTGTGTTTGCTCATGATTTTGTGTGGTATCTAAGGATTTGTTTCTTACTTGAGGTCACTAGGTTTATGTCTATGTTTTCTTCTAAGAGTTTTATAGTTTTAGTACTTACATTTTAATCTTTAATCTCTCTCTCTCTCTCTCTCTCTCTCTCTCTCTCTCTCTCTCTCTCTCTCACTCACTCACTCTTTGAGACAGGGTTTCTCTGTGTAGTTTTGGTGCCTGTCCTGGATCTCACTCTGTAGCCCAGGCTGGCCTCGAACTCACAAATATCCGCCTGGCTCTGCCTCCCGAGCTTGGGATTAAAGGTGTGTGCCACCACCGCCCAGCATGTTTAATCTCTTTTATGCCAATTTTTATATGATATGAGGAAGGGGTCCAGTTTCATTCTTTTGCATAGGTATGTCCAGTTTGAGCACAATTTGTTGAAAAACTTTCTTTCTTCGTCAATAGTCTTGACAAGCATGTGTTTGTTTTTTGTTTTTTTTAAATTCTCAGGCCAGCAGGATGGGTATGTGCATGCTTCTGCATGTGAGTGAGTGCACATGTAGGTGTGTATACAACTTCCCCAGGATTGATTTGGGGAATCATCCCAGAGTGCTCTTCTGCCTTCTTGATTGAGGCAAGGTCTCTCAAACCCAGAGCTTGTTAATGTGTTAGTCTAGCAAGCTTGCTCTGGGGATCCCCACCCTGTTCCTGCCTTCTGAGACTGGGCCACCACACCTATGGAGTTTACATGGGTCTCTGGGGATACAAACTCCAGACCTCAAGCTTTTTTAGCAAGGGCTTTAACCACTGAGCAACATCCCCAACCTCCCCTTCATTTCTTAATATCTTCATTGAGAAATGAGTCACATAACATACAGTTTATCCTCCCAAGTACACAATACACTGAATATATTGAGTTGAACATTTTATAGTGTTTTCATTACACACACACACACACACACACACACACACACACACACACACACACACTTCCCTTAGCTGTCACTTTTCTTCCTCCAAACTTTCCCATTTACCCATCCCCCAACTGCTCATACACTCTCTGTGTCGATCTTTTTTATTGACTTCAGTGATTTTTAGCAGGGACCACTTTTGATTTCACTGGTTTTCTGTGTCTTTGCGGGGCATCATCCTATTGTATTCCTTCCCATTGCGGTTGATAGTCATTGAATGAACAGAACCACAGTTTGCTGAGCCGCTCAGTTATCGGTAAAATTTTGGGCTTTAATAATGTGCATTCTGATTCTCTAAAACTATTTCGGTGCCCAGAAAACGGGTGAGTTTCCAGTAACTGACGAGGTGCTACTTTCAGCATTCTTGGTGACTTCCATTTTTTGTCTCAGTCACGGTAGTGTCAAAATATTTACATTTCTTGTAATTAATATCAGCACTTTTACCTTTTCTACCTTGTGCTTTTTAAAGGGAAAAGGCAACACTTAATTAAATATTAAGTAGTCACTCCAATGGCTGCCATACGAATAGGCAAAGTTAAGCCTGGGGCAGATGGTTGAGAGGCCAGCGAAGCCTTCCACTCCTCTCCAAGCCGCTGTGACTCAGCGACACTGTGATGGCAACAGGTGACTCAGAACAAGGGTAACAATGAGAAGAGCATTAGTGTGTAAGAGATGGGGATGTATTTCTAGACGACAAAAAAAATGTTGGACATGTACACGATTTGAATGATGAGCAAAAAATCAGTTTAGCACATGAAAAGGGATGGGGTGGGTTGGGGGGAGCCAGGCAGAGGGTGAGGGAGAGTGATATACTGGAGAACTATGCAGTTATCAAAAAGAATGCCACAGAAGAATGATAAAACTTTTATGATGCCCAAAATATTCACAGCATGTTAAGATATTAATGTATAAAGATATTAAATTTAAAAATTAGGTTAAAAATAATACAGTCATCATACTCATTTTTTTTTAAGAGCAGCCATGTGCATTTAACTGGAAGACTATACACCCTAATTGGAACAATAACACAAACCTCATACAGGGTTTTTCTAGCTGCTAGGCTTTGAAAGTGTCTCCCAGTTCATATGTTGGGACCTTAGTCTGCAAAGTGACAATATTGGGGGGGAGAGGCGCCTAAATGGGAGGTGTTTAACTGTGCCCTGGGGAATAGACGAATGACTTTTTAAAATGGATCTGCATGCCAGGCAATGGTGGTGCGTGCTCTTAATACCAGCACTCAGGAAGCAGAGGCAGGCAGATGTCTTAGTGCCAGGACAGCCAGGGCTGGCTACACAGAGAAACCCTGTCTTGAAAAAAACAAAACAACAGACACACAAATAAGTAAATAAATAAAATGGTTTTTGCAGAAGGCTGGGAGTGCAGTACGGTGGCAGAGCACTTGCTTAGCAGGTGGGAGACTGGGTTTGATGCCCAGCACCACAAAAAGTGTTTTCTGGAGTGGCTTCACTCCTCAGCACGCATGCCTGCCTACCTCCCTCCATCTGATGGCACACCAAGAGGTCCTTGCTGTCTTCCAGCACCTTGATTTTGGATTCTCAACCTACAGAGAGCTAGGAGAAATAATTTTTGTTTATTATAAATCACCCAATCTCAGCCGGGCAGTGGTGGCACATGCCTTTAATCCCAGCGCTCGGGAGGCAGAGGCAGGCGGATCTCTGTGAGTTCAGGCCTGCCTGGGCTACAGAGTGAGTTCCAGGAAAGGTGCAAAGCTACACAGAGAAACCCTGTCTCGAAAAACAAAAGCAAAAACAAAACAAAACAACAACAAAAACCCCCCATAAAACCAATGAAGACATGTGTGGTGGTTAGTCGGCTTGATAGAATCTAGACTCACCCGGGAGAAGGTCCTGTGGACATGCTTGTGGAGAGTATCTCAGATGTGTTAACCGACACAAGAAGACCCATATGAACGGAGGAACTCTTCATGGCCAGAGGATCCTAGACTGTACAAGGGTGGAGAAAACAGTCTGAACCCCAGCATTCATGTGTCCCTCTCTGTTCCCTGTTACAAGTGTGATGTGACAAGCTCCCCAGCTAATGCCCTTGGGGGCCTGCCTCTCTGTTATCATGGACAACGTGACCTGGAACTGTGAGCTGAAGTCCAGCTGGGAGGGTGGGTGGCTATGCAGCTCATTAACACACAAGATAGATGACCTCCAGCTTCAGCCTCAGCTCTACACCAGTCAACGCTCCCAGTTCATGCCACAGAAAAGCCACCCATCAGCCCGGTTCCTCGCAAATAGAATCTAATTCACCTCACTACCATGACCCCCCACCCCCGACAGAACACAGTGTTTCCACACTGTCCTCCACTCTTTGCAAGACTTCTCTGTTTCCTTCGGTTTCTCCCAGTGCATGTGAACACTTCCTTGGGCATCCCAGTGACAAGATCAATGGGCAATCAGAAATGAAGAATTATTTTTCTCCATGAGCCATTCTTTGTTTGTTTGTTTGTTTGTTTTAGAGTTCAAAACTTTCCATTCTTGTTTAAGATGTTTAAAATTCATAGAGAGCTTTGTGGGGAGAAATCAGTCAAAGATGATGCAAAGAATTATTTCCAGACCGGCAGATACTGTAGACAGAGTGTTTGCAGGATACATTTGTATGTATAAGAACGTCTGTCTGTCCAGTCATAGAAGCCTAGAAAAACAGGATTACAAAATCCTCCAAAGGTGGTTATCAACACACACACACACACACACACACACACACACACCAAAGACACTAGTCCTGGAGTGACTGTAGTCTAGAAGAAAATTAACAAGAGCTTAAAAACACAATTTTAATCCAATAAAAGAAGACAGCATTTAATCTCAAGAGTAAACAATAATTTGAGTCACATGGTATAGAAAATACACTGCTAATAAGCCATTAGCCAAAAAAATGTATTTTATATAGTCAGGGTTTCTCCGTATCAGGGAGACTTGAGAGGTGACAGTCTTCATGAAACAGTTTTCTAGAATGCTAAGCTCAGGCTGCTGTCTAAAGCTTCTTTTAGTTAAAAAAAAAAATCAGCATATAAGGTGTCAGATACCATTATGACATTTCAGGGTTTGTTTTAAATTTTTATTGAAATCTATTATTCTGTGTGTCTGCTTGTCTGTATGTGCAGTGTGTGTGTGCAGAGAAGGACAGAAGAGGGCGCTGGATCCCCTAGGGCTGGAGTTACAGGTGCCTGGAAACTTCCCAAAGCAGGTTCTAGAAAATAAACCTGGGTCCTCTGCAAGAGCAGCTTTTAGCCACTGACCCACCTCCTCAAGCCCCACTACAATGTTTGCTTGTTTGTTTTGAACAAGTGGGGTTTTTCACTCTCCTCCTCTACCAACCTCTTCAGTATAGAAGAATATTCATAGAAGTCCCCCATGAGTGTATCTGTAATCAGAATTTGGGGAGTAGCACTCACTGCGGAATTAATTAGGGAGACCTTTTGTTTGTAGGGGATCATGGAAGTAGATGAGATAGCGTCTGACAGCCCCTCCCGGCTCATGACCATCTTCAAGGATGTGTCTGAGAAGACACAAGGCCATACCTCTGCCCTTCCGCCAGCGGAGGCAGCATCCTTGGATGCACAGGAGGACGAAGGTATTCTGTTCTTATGCAAAAGGTTTACTTAAACTCAACCCTGACCCAAGATGTGTAGCAGAATCTTAAAAGTTCTTATTCATAAAATCAAACCCGAGGCCAGTTATTGGGGTCAATGCTGGTAGATCAGAGAGACAGAACAATCCACAGCTATCTCACCTTGCCAGTTCCTCAGCTGGTCCTGT